CATAGCAGACCAGAATAAAAAAGAAAGTCAAAACTTTTAGCATGCAGGCCAGAAAGTCAGAAATGGCAGCAGGTTAGGTAGTTAGGAACTTGCTCTGTGAGTACTACAAGCAATATCCATCCCTTGGATCTTTAACCTAAAACTCGAGATCCTTGTATCAAAACCCACAGCTTCCTTCTATGAGTCTCCAGAAAAAAAAAACAGCTAAAAACAAACAAATGAAGTCCTAAGTAAGCTAAAGGAAAAAATGAAGACTTGCTCGATAAGCCATCAACAAGTTGGTTCCCACAATGCTGTGGTATTGGTTCCAGAACAAATACTCGAGTACCCAACCCACAAGCCTTCCTTTATTGCAAGTGTTGAAATACCCTCATTGAGACCTCTGCATCCTGCCCTTCTTAAAGAGCTCCGAAGGGTGGGAAATTGACATTCCTTGTCTGTAGGACTCTGGACTGGATGGACATTCAGGAGCCATGGAGCTTTAGAGATGAAAAAGCATTTCTCTACTCAGTGGCACTGCCCAGATGGTAGAATTGTGGTCGGCCTTTCTCAGCCCTTTTCCTTATTTTGCACTGGTGTGGCTTTGTTCGGAGATATTTTGACAAAGAAACAGTCAATGCCTGTATGCTGAATTTCAGGAGGTAGAAGCAGGAAGATTGGCTCAAGTTTGAGGCTAGCCTGATCTGCATAGCAAGTCCACACTCCAGAAATGGGGAGGGGAGAAACGAAAGGGGATGGAAAGAAGAGAAATAGCCAAAGTGTAGATGCTTAATTGGGTAGATTTTTGGTCACATGCCCAAAATGAACTGGATGATCCTGGACAAGGTCAAGGAGGAATTTTCCTCTTCTGGCAAATTGGCCAAGGTTGGGTGGTTTGCGCCGTCACCTCTCTCTGGTGGTTCAGGCCACGGGCACTGTACCTGTTCGTTCTGCCATTGGTTTGTAAGTAGGACAGAAGCCCATGAGCCTGGATCTTTGGCTGGGTGAACCTTGTCTGTGTGCTGGTGCATGAGCTTGATCCAAAAGGGGACAGGAAGTCGCTGGAGGCTCTCAGCTCCAGGCTGGCCCTGACTCACTCCGAAGGTACCTACAATCAGACTTCTCAACAGCAGGAGAGAGCTCGCCTGACTCCAGCGCCTTGGGGTTGATCATACCAATCCTTTCCTACTTATGAGGCAGCCAGAGCGGTAACTAATGTAGGCGAAACTGCTTCCATGTGCTGTTCGAAAGTCAGGGTGTGGGGGTCTGGCAGAGCAAAAGAGGGAAGGAGGAAGAGGGAACCAGAGGGCTTTCTGGGGCTACAGATTAATCTGTGTCAGCACTAGTTGTATTTGCACTTTGACCAAAGTGCAAATGTTATCAGCGTGGCTTCAAGAGTGTATGCGTGTACAGGTTTAGAAGTGTCTGGCTGATCAGGTGGGAACCTAAAGAAAAATACAGAGCCAGGGTTGACCTTAGGTCCATCTCTTAGTGTCCTCCCACCAGAGATGAAGAACTAAGGTCTAGAGAAGGGCAAAAGGCAGGATCATGACTCCAAGTTAAGGGATCTTTCATAAGGACAAGCCAGAGTGAGGATCAGAGATCTCAGGAAACTTCTAGTGTCCCCTTTTGTCTCGTGTAATGCCATGCCTATTTAACCCAGTTCTTTTTTCCTTATTTTCCTTGCCACCCTCCCCTCAGAGCCTTTTGTCACCACCATACCAATTGAGAATGGCTGGGCAAAACCAGACCTGGTCTTACATATTGCTGGTCTAGAATCCTCACTGATAAAAGGGCACCACAGCGGTGACCCACCTACATTAAAGAAACAGTCAAATGTCCAATTACTGCAAGCACCTTCCAAGTCCTAAAGAAAAGGTTCTGCTGAACACAAAGCAGCCTTTATTCCTGAACTTGCACACCTAGTGCATGCTGGCTAAGTAGCCATGGCCTTTTGTGGTGAGCTTAGACTTAATAACGCCTCCTCTTACGACAATAGCAAAACAAGAAAGAAAGAAGAAAAGAAATGTTCACTGCTTTCATAAAAGACCTCCCCCACCCTCAAAGAAGCAAGAAATAATTGTGGAAGGAAACCAGCATGGTATATACCAGCTAAGCTCTGTAAGCAAATCTAATGGGTATAATTTGCCATAGAAGGAATTATTGAAGGGAACCAAATCCATCATTGTGTGCAGCCCTGAAGAGATTATGGATAGAGGGAGTGGGCTGGTGTGCAGGGGGAGGGGAAATCCTTAAAAGCGGTAAACACCCTACTGATCAAAAACAGTCCTGAGCTTTATAAGATCCAGTTCAATTTGCCAAATGACTTTTCTTGTTGAATACTAAATGTCTTCTATATGTCAGATGTGGGCGAAGAAGGGCAAAGCCAAGGTTGAGTTTAACCCATGGAGGATGCCCCCATTGGCTTTGAAAACCTGGAGTCTGTGTTCTGTTGTCTTCCATTTGGGGCCCACCTCTCCTTTCTCCAAATTCAGTGAAGATCATGTCAGAAGTGTTCTGAGTGTCCCGCCCAGAAAGGGTGAGGTTCTTTCTATCCTTTGCACACACTTATAGGATTTTCCAGAAGTTAAATTCAGATTAAGTGTCGTGTGCCTTAATCCTACTCCCAGGCACCCCCACACCCATTCTGTATAGACTCATGATAGAAAACTGGTCAATCCATGGGAAAGTCAGAGCCCAAAGGCAGGAAGCCTTGGCTTCTCATTGTCAGCTCCCAGCAAAGATCCATGGCTGTGCTAACTTCTGGGCCCACTAACCCTGACCAGGTATCAGGAAAAGGTTGGGGACTGGGAATTCACAGGTGCTGGCCCAAAGAGGATATCCAAGATGAAGAACCCAAATGCTTGTTTTTCTTTACTAACATACAGCTCTTCTGCACAGTGAATGGTGATCGTGATGGTAGATTTGTAAGCATCTCAGACGGCTCTTGTGACTATTAGTGATCATTATATAAATGTGCCACTAGATAGGGAAGCTAACAGACATGGGAAAGTTAGGACCTCCTTCAAGCTTAACTCTGCTATCTATTGATGGTGTGACCTTGAGCAAGTGACACAGATTCCCTGGGTCTCCACTTCTTTCTCTAGCAAATGGCAGAGTATATTTTCCAGCCGTGGTACTGCAACCCCAGAGAAGCAGGAGGTAATTCTGCCTAGAGGTTGCCAAATCCCTCAAAGGGCTGGGCAGTAAATACTTTGTGATTCACTGGACAAAAGACAAAAATCAAGAATGCTAAGTAAACAAGTGTTTCAAAATCTAAAAGGATTTCTGGCTTCAGGATAAATAAATTTATAAAGGAGGTATGGGCTGGATTGGCTTCAGGTTGTAGACGCCTAATTCCTGATTTAGGTGGTACATGAATGAGCTTTTTCTATTTGAGGCTATACATTCATTTTTATGTACATTAGAGAATACTAGCTTGCCATTTATAATGATGATATAAACTGTTCCTTTTAAAGACCCATTTACTTTAAAAGAAAAAAAAAGATGGTTGTTCAATTTTTTTTAATTTATTATGTTCAGAGAAGCATGCGGATTGAGTAAAATTGTAATAGTAACAGGTAAAATGATGCAGTTTGAGGAACACTGGGCTGAATGATGGAGAAGCATTCATAAGTTCCAATTCTGTATTATGTTGTCCCTAGACACAGACTCTCACTATTGCCCTGGCCTTTGCCTGTACTGTGATTTTGAGCTGCCGTGTCCTCCCCATGAATAGAGTTTGAACCAGCTTATCTCATTAATTTTATGTCAAGAATTAAAGAAAATGAAGTTAAGTGAGAAGATTTTGAAAGAAAAATCTTCTAAACATGGTCTCCCCAACACACACATACACACACACACACACACACACACACACACACACTTGTGGAAATACAGAAATAGCATTGGGCCTATGGGAAGGAGCAAAGATGAGGTTGACAGGGCAAGAACACCTTATCTTCTGCCCAATCTCAGCCAGACACCTTTGCATGAGCTCCCGTCCAACCACCATAAACTGCTCAGGGAGAAGAGGGCTGCAGACAAGACCAGGGACATCCCAAGCAGGCCCACCTGAACTGCCACTCAAATTCCATCTCCTGTCAGCTGGGGTAGCTTGTGCTTGCTACCTGGAATCCCAGAGCCCCTTCCTTCATTCATAAAACAGAACCTTTCCCAGCACCCACTAGAGTGGTTGCTCTGAGGAATCCTCTAGAGGACTTAGCACAGTACTCTCCATGTACCCGAAGCAGGGTGGACTGGGAAGGTATACGTCCTGTAGAAACAGAGCTCCTGAGAGGATACAGGATTGCCCCAGCACATTCATATCACTGCAGGGCATCATGTAAATATCCGCTAACTGAAATAATTTAACTATAGCTATAACTTAATGTGGTGTGTGTGTGTGTATGTGTGTGTGTGTGTGTGTGTGTGTGTGTGTGTGTTCATATGCAGGTGTCTAATGAATAAAAACTTTGCAACATCAGTTTAGGACTCTTTTTTGCTGGGAAATAAGGTTGTGGCAAACACATGCACATGCCAACACATAGAAACTTTCAGAGCTGCCTGATTTCAGCATTCTGGATAGATGCATACTGGACAATGCTTGACCCACTTTCCAAAGTGCACTTTTATATATTATATAAAACATGTATAATATATGTGTTATATGCAATACATAGTGTTTATTACATATTACATATGGGGTGGTTCAGACATGAACAGAGAAAAAGAGGCAAGATTGCAGAATATGAGCCTCCATCCTCAAATATCAGATCTGCAACTTTCTTGTTATGTTACTTGGGCAAGTATCTCAACTCCTCTGGCTCAATTTTCTATAGGTAAAATGGGGATAGGCAGGATGTGGTGAGGACCAAAGAACACTGTCTGTGGAAAACAGCCGGGAGTACCCGGCTAATGCTCTTGTTAAAAGCTAAAGGCCATTCTATTGGGCATTTCTACACGTGTGGCTTGTGGAAGCCCATATTCCACACATCCTCACAGCCTCTCTAATATTACAGGGTGATGTTGGACTCGGTGACCCATAGCACCTTTCTACCCAACACGTCCTTCTGTGATCCCCTGATGTCTTGGACAGATTTGTTCAGCAATGAAGAATATTACCCCACCTTTGAACATCAGACAGGTACGGACATCTGGGGGTTCATTCAAGAGCAGTGGGACTGGGCTCTGGCAGGATATACTGGTCTAGGGCAGCCTAGAAATGCCAGTGTTCAGGGCAGAGGCTGGTGGAAAGCCATGGTGAATGAAGTACAGCCTTGTTGGGGAAGGAAAGGACTAAAATCCTCACTCCTGTTTCTTCCTATTTCTGTGTAAACTGCACAGCCTGCCTCAAAGCAATGTGCAGTAAACATGAGTCCACTGTTAGTCCTAAGGTCTCCTCTCCACCCTTGTCTCATTCTCCTTCTCCCTCCCAACCGCCAGCTCAGTTTTCTGTATCTACAAAGGAAGCTTAAGACCTTATGTAAATCTCATTGCCAAGAGAGGCCAGCTGAGCTTTGCCCCAGAAAACCTCCCAGGCCTCCATGCCTGAGTAAGTGCTTGGGTGACTGCACATCTCAGCAAACCCAGCTGGCTGCTGGCACAGCAGGTGCACCCCCCACAGGTGATGCACACCCCACAAGTGATATAAGCACCAGGGAAGCTGTCTGGCCTCATGGAGACTTAACCCTGAGCACACCAGCCGAGCCAAGTCTAAGCCTAGTGCCTAGAGGTAGGGAGTGATCAGGAGACGTCCACACTGTCACCACCACGAGGAAGCCCCTGACTTTAGTTAGAGCTAGAGGTCAGTGCTACATACCCAGAATTGAAGGCATTCCTAAATCACATTCAACTGACAGATCTATCAGATCTATCCAGGCCCTGGCCTGTAGTCCACGAGCACTGAAGAGTAGCCATAAATGGGGCCCAACACATGTTCCTAAAACATTCCAAGATATCTCTTTTGCAATTCCATGTCACAGTGTCCAAAGATCACTGCGTTTGGACTTGACTCATTCGATCCCAAGAAGTATCTGGATTCCCCGGCATTGGGGAACAATGTAATTCGCCTCCTTCCCTCTAAAGTTTGAGAATGAGGTTAACTGGAAAAGAAGACAATGAAGGCTTTGGGGGGGGGGGTTGATCTTTCATGTTGTTGGTGCCTGGTCTCCCAGATGACATGTGGGTGGCAGTAGGGAGATGGCCTCAGCACTCTGCCCACGTGATACCCTGATGACAGGAGCAGTAGCTTCTGTAGTTGATCAGCATCTAGGCTGGGTTCTATGTGACCTTAAAGTGAAGAGTGGCTTTGACACTGTCTGCTCCGGTTTAAACTCTCATGCCCCATCTTCTTCCTCTGTGATGGGGCTGACCGTGGTGTTATAGTCTGGCACCAGCAAAACTCAGGGCTACTTCCAGCTGGGGGTAAAGAGAAAGTTCTAGAGCTGATGGTTGTGTTAATATAACAGTGTGAACATACTTCATGTCACTAAACTGTACACTTTTAAAAGGTTAAAATGGCCAGGTGGTGGTGGTGTACACCTTTAGTCCCAGCACTCAGGGGGCAGAAGCAGGCAGATCTCTGAGTTTAAGACCAGCCTGGTCTACAGACTGAGTTCCAGGACAGTCTTGAAAAAAAAAGTTTAAAATAGTTTCATGTTTGGTACATTTGCCACCATAAAACAATATAGTCCATTAGCAGAAGGTATCACCCATGGAACTGACCGTGTAACCTAATTCTGTACTCTTGGGGGCAGCCCTCCACAGAATGAGGCCTTGGCATTTCCATTAGTGGGATGAAAGGTAAGACAATGCCATTGCTAAGATTCTTCTGGAAGTGTCTCTGAATCCCACATCAGGAAATATCAAAAACATAAACTTCTCTCACCACCATTTAAAAAGCTTGAAATCTCCATCAAGATATGAGACCAGTGAAAATAAAATATTCTCTTTTCTTTTCCCAACAAGAACATCTTCAGAGAAGTGACATATGAGTCTGAATTTCTATAAAAACCTTCTCTTCCAGGAGTAGATCAGGGTAAGTCAGGATGCGCTGACTGCTACTTTCTACAGCTTGTCTCCCTGGTGCCCACAGAGCTCCATCTTGAATCTAGACATTGCCACTCACCAGCCATGGGACATCAAGCTTTTTGACACATTTTCCTTCACCAAAATAGTACCCACTATCTAAAGCGGGGAGTGTAAAATGAGCGTTAATACTATTATCAGGTATTTAGACAAGTTCCTGGAACTTGTCAGATGCTCGTGCCATCCAGGAAGCCCTCAAAACTCCTAGAGAGGTAGAAAACAGTCATCGCCTTCCTCTCTCCATTCTCCAGCCCAGATCTCAGTAGTAAGCCTTCCTTCCAATCTGGGATTGAGACCAAAAGTAAAGGAAGTGAGAAGGGAGTGATGTGCACAAGTGATGCCTGGGAGAGGGCGGGTATAATGCTCAGCCTACGGAGGAGAGCCAGCTGTTTTCAAACTTTGACAATGACTTCAGCAGAGAACTGCTGAGCCCTCAATGCCCTTACCGCAAAGGACTGACCCTGCTGTTTGAAGCAGGACTTTTGGTTGACTGCATTAAAGTTGAAAAGGGCACAGTCACAGATTGTAAAATACTCTGGAACTTCATTAATTCATCTTGGCCTTGATACCAGCTTTCTCAAAATAGAGAATTGTCAATATGAGACAATTTATTCAAGCAGAAACTCTGTACTCCATGTGCATATATAGTGTATGAACTATATATATATTTGATATACACACACATATGTATGGTTTTTTTTTATTCTTGTTATTTTGTTTGGTTTGATTTAGTTTGGTTTCTGTTTTGGTTTTTTGAGACAGGGTTTCTCTGTGTAAAAGATCTGACTGTCCTGGAACTTACTCTGTAGACCAACCTGGCCTCAAACTCATAGAGATCTGCCTGTCCCTGCCTCCTGTGTACTGAGATTAAAGACATGTCCCATCAACCCTGGGCCACTGTGGTTTTTGGAGACAAGGTCTTACTATGTAGTACTGGATGTCCTGGAACAGGACAGGCTGGTCTCTAACTCCAAGTGCCTGCCTCAGTATTGGGATTAAAAGTGCATGCTACCATGACAGGTTTCACATGCATATATCTTTAAAAGAGTAAATATCCAATTAAGTTCCAATAGCCCACCTTCTGAAAAGTTCTGACCTCATCCCTACTTCCTGGAGTTCTACCCTTGACGACATCCTCCCCACACACCTCTTCCCAGGCCTTCAAAATGGCCATGCCAACATATGACACCTCCTTCACTTTGGAATTTTGCTTATACTCTTTCCACAGCAGAGCTTTCTAGACTGGTGAGGCCTGAGGGAGTAAGCTCCAAGGGGCCCCTCAAGTCTACCACAGTACAGAGCCTGGGTGGCATTGGCAAAGACAGATGCTGGCTGCCCCTCTGCACTCCCACCAACAGATTCCTCCACTTTCATTCTGCATAGCTGTTATCAGTTTCAGCTGCAGGAGCAGGATGACACCTCCATCACCCAGTTCTAGCTCTGTCCCTCACCCACTGTGTGACTTTACAAAGGGCTGTCTCCTTTCTCTGTTTGTAAAATGGGAGCTGTGATCTAAGACCTCACAATGTAATGAAGACCAAATAAAAATCAGTGTTTAGCAGGGTGACCAGTACATATGAGCACTCAAGGAGCACAAGAGCTGTTGGGCCAATCCGGTGGCCTGGGGTGATGCCCCGTGCCAGTAGTGGGGAAGCAGAGGCTAGATGATTTCTGTGAGTTTGAAACCAGCCTTGTCTGCATGGTGAGTTCCAGGATGTCCAGAGCTACATAGTAAAACCCTTTCTCTAAAAAGAAGAAAAAAAGAAATTTAACAGCTCTCATTATCCAGTTTCAAGAAATGCTCTCTAAAAGAATTATGCTGAAACATCTTAAGTATTCAAATCAAGGAAGGAATCATTTAAATCTCATCCGGGCTTTTCTAATTAACATACATGTGCTAGATACAGAAATTCAAGAGTTCATCCATGGGTACAGGCCTAAGAATTTCTAAGTCAAAGTCAAAGAACACACACTAAATCATTCAAAAGTCTAAGTTGAGTCCTGTAGCAGAAATCACAGCCCAGAGAAGTCACTACTAGCTACCTCTGGTTTGTCTAACCACAGAGGCCTTCAGGGAAGCCACACCCAGCACTACTCAGGCCTGGCTTTCTCGGCCCCTTCCTAACTCTCATGGTCATGGCTCTCCCAGACACGCAGCTAGCCCTCCTCTTTTCTCCATCCAGGTTCTTACACTCATGGTCTAAGTCATTCCAAGGTCAGAATGAAAGCCAAGAGAGGTTCTAAGATGGGGCCAGCCCAGCTCTGAGAGGAAATCTGCAAGAAGCCATTTGTCACCACAGGACTTCCCTCATAAAACCCTTCCTTTCTGTCACAAAGCTACAATTGATGGTGCCCTACCCTACCCAGTTCACTCACCACTTCTCTTCAATGTCGCCTTGGGCGAAAAACTTTCCCAGCTCCCTATGCTAATAAATCATGCTAATTATGGTCCCAAGTTGTCTAACTCTGCCTCCTCTAAAGTAGACTGTCTGTCTCCCCCTTGCCTCATACTGCATTTGTTCCTCACTCTGAGAATGAACATAGGCCTGCAATGAGAGCTGAGCAGCTACTGTCCACTATGGTATGAACTTTCTAATCTCCATGTCCCTACCTGGGGCTACTTCAGGCCTGGGTGTCACCTCCCTACCCTGAGGGCCCTGGAACACATCAACCATCAGTGAAAACTGAAGGCCCAATGAAGTTTCATACATCCAACTTGATAGCTTCATTTGAGAGAGCTCCCCCGAAATCAAGGACAACTCTCTCAAGTGCCTTAGTTTTTCTTTCCAAGGCAGCTGACCCTCAAATGCCCTGACCCACTTCAGACTTCAAAGGCGCTAGCAAAGCCTGCTCTTTAATAGCGGCCTCTGGACTTCTGGATCAAGCTTTCTGGGCATAGGATGCTGGCTGGCCTCAACTAGTAACCTAGGCAAATGGAACTCATAATAAAGCTTCTCCAAAAAGTTCAGTGGGTTTTGCAAATGAGAGGCACACTAGCAAAAACACTGTACCTTTCCAGACAGAGAATATATTCATACATACATATACATACATACATACATACATACATACATACATACATACATACACACCCTTTTTTTAATTTGCTCTAAGTTCATTTCTTCTAAATACTAGAAGGTTCTTTTTCACATCATTTTCTAGGATTGGAGGCACTGGCATCATTACCTTTCTATCTTCTTTCTGATTTTTCAGACCTAAGTTTTAGATAGATAGATAGATAGATAGATGATAGATAGATAGATAGATAGATAGATAGATAGATAGATAGATAGGGACAGACAGACAGATGATAGAGATACTGACTTATGTGTGGTGGATATGCATCCATCTGCCTTCCTGCCTGCCTACCTGCCTTCATTCAAATCTTGTTTTTGATAAGTGCACAAACTCTGGTCCTCCAGAACCAGGAAATGTGGCATGATGCAAAATGTGCACATGGTGCCTAACTACCTTACTAATGGCCACTGTGACCCTGGAGGGGGAACCATGTAACCTCCCAGAACCTGTTTCCTTACCTTAAGGTAAAGATCATAATCACCGGTGATCTGGTAACTGAGGGCCTGTGGGCTAAGGAGGGGGATGGGAAGGGGCTGTTAGCACTCCTGGTTCAGGGTAAAAAGAGCTTGATCTAGGAAGGGAGGTGCTGTGAATCCTTCTGGAACCTTCTGAAAAGGCACCTAGGGGAAGATTCTTTGAGAGAGTGAGCAGCTGTGGCTCAGGGAGAGCAGGAACCACTCAGGAGTCCGCAGAATGGGGAAAAGGCACCTTCAGGCAGAGAGCAGGGAGTGACACAGGGGCAGGTAGGTAATAGAGGCCCCGGGAGCAGGATCCCTCCCTTGCTCAGTGGTGCCACTGAGTCCTCCACCTCGTCCTAAGACTCTGTCCATGGAATCACTCCACCACCAAAATGTCTCTGTGGACACTGACTCCGTTAGCCCTGCCTCCACATCACTGAAAACAGCTATTTCTTCCCAGCTCTGGAGACCGTGGGAAGGGCTGTTACAGACAGGAAAGTCAGCCACCACTTAGCTGAGCCCAGGCCCCTGTGGCACACAAAGCAAGCTCTGTAAGTAAGCTTCATGGAGGAGCTTGAGAGCGGGCGCCAGGCCAGCAACACCTTCCTGATGTCAAGACTGACCGCCCACCTCCCACTTCTCTAGATTCTGAAGGCTCTCTTGGCTCCCAGAAACAACGGAGTCTCCCTTCAGATGCCAAACAAAATAACCCAGAAGTAGAAATGGAGAAAGGAAGGGAACAGAGACACAGCAAAACCTTTCCATGAAGAGAAACGTGCTCTGTGCTACACAGCAGTGCACTGATAGCCATCTCAGTCAGGGCCCAGTGCAGGACCAGCAGCCAAAGAATGTCAAGGATCATAAACATCTCTCATCGGAATACCAGGAACGGCTAAGGGCCTCAGGTTTATTCAAGCCAGAAGTCAGTAGATGGAAAGCACAGACAGAACTCAGGAAGCATCTGTTTTCTCAGGAGACCCTGCCCTCTGCCAGGAACCAGCCATAAGCCTGTTCAGCCAGCTCCAGCCAGCAGTAGGAAATCAGGGAGAGGGGAGTTAGGTCAAACCATCCCCTCGATGTTTTCAACTACCAAGCAAAAGCTATACGTGGGAACTTACCAGCCTGGCAAAATACAGGCTCTTTCATGTTAAGACACTGGTGATTTAAATAAATCACTTGCTACACATGTGTGTGAGGCCCTGGGCTCAATTTCCAGCTGCAGAAGAAAAAAAAAATACTGGTTAAAATTTTAAAATAATACAAATCTAGGATTTGGGCTTTACCAAGAGCCTCAACAGTAGGAAAAGAGATTTCTGGGAGTCTGCATTTTAGAGGGAAACTCAGCTTCTATCTTTGTGAAATAGCCCTGCCACGACAAGGCTGGAGGGATTTGAGAAACCAGATGATGCCAGTCAGGACTTGGCACCTCAAAGGTAATGAACAAGAGGTAGCCCCCCACCCCCCACAGGTCAGAGCTGTCTCCTAGCTGGGCTCATCAAGGCCCAGCAGCAGCCAGTGGGAATTTAGAGGCAGGGGCATGGCAACAGCAGCAATGCCAGTTGCTGTGGAGTGTCACGTCAGGATGTAACTCTCCATTATCCACATAGCCTGAGTCAGTGGCTGCAGCCATGCTCTGCCGACTTCCCCTCACTCTCTCTAGCTCTCTGCCTGCCTCTCTCTTCATGTGCCATGTCTTTTCTGTGCTGATCCTCCAAGGATGAACACAGGGGGATAAGAAGAGCAAGGCATGCAGACTGCACCCACATCCCAGCTTTGCTGCCCACCGGCAGCTGGACCTAAGGAAAATGAGTCTCCTCTCATCCTCAGGTTCCTCATCTATCAGAGGACATAGGCTAAATGTGTCTATCCTCCATCAATTCCTACCACGCAGTTTGTGGCATCCCACAAAGTAGGTGGAGAGTGGCAGCATTAATAACAGCATTAAACCATATGTGAGCTCGTTTAATTGGTAGAACAACCCTATGATAAAGGTGCTGTAGTTGTCTCCATTTCATGAACAGGGTAAATGAAGTTCTCACTTATTGGATGGATGGATGGACAGCAGGTGGGTGGATCGATGGATGGTTGGGTCGTGGGTAAACAGATAGATATTATGGTGATTACAAGAATTATTTACATCAGAGCTGGGGGGTGTAGCTCAGTGGTAACTTTATGACTGTGCTTGCCTAGCCTGCAGAGGTAGTTGTCTGCAATCATCAAAGAATCTAAGTGCCTGGTACCTTCCCTTGTCTATTCTTATGCATGCCATTCTATCTGTTTCTGCTGGAGACATTGAGACAAGACTGTTGGGGACCTGGACAAGGTGTCACTGCTTGTATCCCAGCCTCCTAGTCAGGATGGCAACTTCAGTTGTCTGAGTATCTGCACAGGTCTTTACAGGAGTAGGACCTGCAGGAGTAAAAGGAATGAATCTTAAACCACCAGGAACACAGGAAAATTACTAACTCCTCCATCATCTCCTTCCTCCACAGACATCTGTTCTGGTGGTCTGCCACACTATGGGAAATATCTCACTAGCTCCAGATCCTTGTAAAAGATGACCAGGAGCTATGCACAAACAGGTAGCCAGATGGGCATCTGTCCATAAATGTGCAGAGGCTCAGACCAGTTTCAAATAGAGTCTGACACACAGAAGGCAGTTAATACTATTGGATTGATTGATAAGTCCCTAGGCACTGGCCTCCAAATTGTATAACAACACTGAAGGTCAAATATATTTTCCCCATTTTTCAGCTGTGGAATCAGAGGTCTAAACATCTGTGGGCCTTACCCAAAAGGCAAGCAGCTCAGTCAGGATTTGAACTCAGACTTCCTTCAGAGCTCCTGAGTTCTTATTCTTGATACCACATTGCCTGAGGAATATTTTTGCTCTCTTTCTCTATTGGATATCTTCCTCTTAAGCGCCAGACAGAGAGATATAGTAATTGCCTACCTGCCTCATACTCTCTCTGGCCCCAAAAACACCCACAGAATTTTATCTCTCTGGCCATCTCTGCAGAGAAGGTGACCTAGACCCTTGCAACTGCATGCCAGAACTACAGCCCTCTCTGCCCACTGGGTAAGGGACAAGGATGCTCACACAACAGGAGTATTCCTTGGAGCCCCCTGTAGACTGTCAATCCTTAATTCCCTGTGCTCTGGTGCAGCCTGTGACTCCTACTGGACCTCGGTGCACCCTGAATACTGGACCAAGCGCCACGTCTGGGAATGGCTCCAGTTCTGCTGCGATCAGTACAAACTTGATGCCAACTGCATCTCCTTCTGTCACTTCAACATCAGCGGCCTGCAGCTGTGCAGCATGACACAGGAGGAGTTCATCGAGGCCGCTGGCATTTGTGGGGAGTACCTGTACTTCATCCTCCAGAACATTCGCTCACAAGGTCAGTGCCAGCAAACCCCAGGAGAGGTCCCTGAGCTAGGACCTGACCCCTTCCCATGACTCTCATAACCAAACATTGCTGATGCTTGGTCAAAACCTCTCAGTAGCCAGAAATTTAACTGTCCCCATGTTGACCAAGAAAGCAAGTTGGGTAAGGTTTTGTCTTAAAGAAAAGTAAAACTCAGGCATGAGTAAAGAAGTCCAAAGCCAGGCTGAAAGCCGCAAACAAGGATGCTCAGAACTAATCAAAACCATGAAAGGTGAGCAAAAGGAGCATTCTGCTTCATCCCTGACAGATGAGGGAGACAATAAAAGAGGCCTTTCCCCTTCCCGAGGAGTCCAAAGATTTGCCTTTCTTTGTACAGTCCTTTTGGTCAAGGATCCAGTGGCCAGAAGGTGTCACCAGCAATGTGTGAACACCACGAGCTCACGCTGGTTTTTTTGAACCAGAAAGCTCCTTTGAGAAAATCTGATTCTGTGTCCTAGTGATGAAGCAGCTGATGAGAAGCTCTGTGCCTTTGCTCTGGCCAGACAGTGTACAGGGATGCTCCATGGGCTGTCAGGACAAAGTGAGAGCCGGAAATCTTAATAACCCATTGTGTTATTAATACAGCCCAGTTCTTATACATGGAAGCCATAGGGGATGCAAGAAGCATCCCCTTTCCAAATCCCTGATGGCTTCGTCTGTCCACTGGGAGGATAGACGACCCTCCATGGATTTCTTTGGAGGATTATTTGGCACAGCATACAAGGACACTAAGTAGCAACTGTTTCTCTGTTATTACAACCATGAGGCTGATGGGGATGCAATGGTGTGGGCAGAGGGACGCACTATAGCAGACACACCTGTGTTAGATTTTAAGGAATCTTAAAAGTTGTCAGTTTCTCTTAGAAAGGCTACTTGAGAAGACACAGAAAGCAGGATGCTCCCTGCCACTGGGGAGCCAAGCTGTCTATGCACCCCTCCTTGACAGGGACACTGTGAACAAAGCAGAGATTCCCATTTGGGCAGAGAAATCTCAGAGCACCACCCAGCTCTGTGAGTCTGGGACCTCCCTTTGCTCATCCCCATCAGGAGGGGCTAAGGGTAAGAAAGTAGAGTGTGGTGACCCTGAGCTAGAAGTAGAAGCCTGTTCTTAGGGTGTATACTCCCTAAATGGGGACAGTTCTGTCACAGCCACCTTGGGAGGAGGAGTCTGGAAATCTATTCAAAAACCTACTAAGGGCCAGGTGTGGTTGCACAACTTTAATTCCACCAACCTGCTCCATTCTGAACCTCTTCCCTCAAGATCCCTCAGGAAACCCTGTGTACACGTGCTTCTGTGTACACAGACTCTAGCAGTTTTCCCAGGACACAATGAGCTCACTGCTCATCCCTGCATAATCACCATTGGAACCCCCCATCTCATTCTGAGGTCCCTCCATTTGGCCAAAACTTATATCCTGGGTAACTATCTACCATGTGCTTTGTGTACCCCATAGTCAAGGACTCTGCAAGCACAGGACATGGAACAAGGAAGCTTCAACCAGCAGAGACACCAGAGGGGCCTCCAGAGCCCAGAGGGTCATCTGATCAATAGATATTGCAGTAAGATTTGAAGGTCTAGAAACATGGAGGCACTGGTCACCGGAAGTAGAGGTCGGGGGAAAGCCTGGGGTCACAGAATGGCTTCCACGATGTAGGACAAGACATATCTCTCATCAGTCCCCTACCCTGTTCTAGTTGGCCCTTTGGCCAGAGTGTTCCAATTGTGTAGTAAAGATAAAATAGCCCCCATGTTGGACACCAAGTTAGGAAATAGGTGTCTGTTGACCTGACCTGCTTCCTGGAAACATGATCTTAAACTCCAGCCCAGCTCACCATTCTACATAGTAAGGAACCAACATGGTCTCCCAATGAATTGAGCATTCAAGTAGATCTATGTGACCCTTTGAGCTTCTTACCCTTCTCTTCCCTTTGGCTATCACATCACAGTCTTTCTGATCGCCAAGGATTACAGTCCCATGTCAGAAATCATAGGCCCAGGGCCAGAAGAGAGTAGAGTGAGTGATTAATGACAAATTCCACTGAGACTAACCAACAAGTCCAGAGAGCCTGTGACTGGCAAAGCTGTGCAGGCAGCAGTGGTCCAGCTCAGTTCAGAGCCCAGGTTTCCTGGAACCTAGACAAGATTCTCTGTCTTAGAGCTCAGTAGCAGATCCACAGATGCTTCTAGAACCCCTAGCATCAGTTGTTCTTCTTAGGTAACCTTTGAAAAAGTATGATGTTTTATTTGACATCAGGATGGCTTTATAAAGAGCTAGATGGGAGTCTAAGTTTCCCTCTGACAAAAGACACTCCTCTGAGGGAAGAATCAATCCCCTTCTTCCAAAACCTCCCCTTCTCATCTTGCCAGGCCCCCTGGATTGCATGGAATAGTTTGTGAATCTCTCTTTTCATTCCTTTCCCAGGTTATTCCTTTTTCAATGATGCTGAAGAGACCAAGACCACCATCAAAGACTGTAAGTATGATGTTCAAACTGCCCAAAGCTGTGCCCAAACTATTGCTGGCCACTTGGATTTGACCCTGCTTTAACAACCATACTAGAAGGTTGATGAACCAAAACAAGCCAAGATTTGGAAAAAGAGTAGAGAGAAATAGGTTAAAAGAGTGTGACTATGCAGGAAAGAGTCTGTGGGACATCAACTCATGTCCATGGAGTCCTGTCTTTACCATGACTCTATTTGTTTGCCTATTGAATGTTTGGATCCTTCTGGGTTGTGATTGGCTTCAGAAACAATGGTATTTGTGCCTGGTAAAGGACCTTTCTTGTGCCTGCAGTGTGGATACTATAGAGTTGGTGCCCATTAGCCATGATAGTAATGACTTCTAGCTATCAGAGGCCTATGGTTGCTGATATTTCAGAACAGTCAGAGTCCTCTTGGTGGATCAAATTGATAATTAGAAGATGATAAGGATGTTTCAAATGACCTGTGGTCCCAATGATTAGCCTCATTTCATTTCTTCAGATGGAGGCAGGGAAAGGAAACTTTGAAGCTCCCATTTTAAAAATATTTTTATTTGTTCTTTGAGAATTTCATACATGTATGCAATTTATTTTGATCATAGCTATCCTCTACTTTTCCCAACAAGTTCCTCTCCCAGCTTAATGCCTTTTCTTCTTTTTAAAAACATAATACATGATTCCAGTTAGTGCTGCCATCCACTGGAGTATGGGTAACCAACCAGTGGCTATAACCTGCCAATAGGTGGAGCTACCATTTTAAAAAATGATTATCATTACTATTAATTATTGAGTCCCATGCAAAGATCCTGGCTCAAGGACTGAAAAGAAATGTGGTCCCTTTCCCCATGGACTCATGCTCAGCCACCTGTAAAGAGTAGGCAGGCCACATGGAGTTTCCCTAGCCTTCCCCTCTGAAACATAGATACAAATGGGCAGGCAATGAGTATTAGAAGTTGTTAGGATTTTAAAGCTCTATGTTAATGTGTGTGTATGTGTGCCTGTGCACGCGCGCTCGTGTGTGTGTGTGTGTGTGTGTGTGTGTGTGTGTGTGTGTGTGTTGGTGTTAATACTGAGGTCAGAGGGATAACTCTTGGGAAGCAGTTTTTCCTTCCACTGTGGGTTGCAGGAATCAAACTCAGTTCATGGGGTTATATACAAAGCACTTTTACCTTCTGAGCCAGCCATCTTGCTGGCCCAGGATTTTTTCCCTTTCCCTAAAATCCCCATCAACTAAGGATTTAAGTTCTTAGACTTCTGATTAATTACAGTTTGGCTACTTTCATTTGTTGTTTTTAGGGACATTAGCACAAGAATAGCAACTTCAGTTGTGAAATGGGTCACCCCCATTCAGCCCCAAGGACCCTAGCTGGTCTTACCAGAGAGAAGGAAGAAAAGCTTCTAGGGGACAAATGCTGGGCTCACATGGTCCTTGAAAAAGAGCTGGAAGGGGTGTCATTGGGTTGCCCAAAGCCAGTAGCCACTAGCCACATGTAGTTATTACTTAAAATTAAATAATGTTAAGATTCAAGTCCTCAGGAACACTAGTCATGCTTTAAATGCAGTCACAGCTGGCCAGAAGCCACCATATTGGATTGCTGGAATTCCCCATCACAGAAACTTCTCCTAGGCATTATCAGTAAAGAATCAGTCGCATCCACAGGAGGAGCTGAGGTTAAGGGCTGAGCAAGGGCAGATGTATCAGTAGTGGGATTTGGGTTTCACACTAAGCAAGCTAAGCAGCCACTGAAGGATTGTAAGCATGGAAATGGTAAGGGTCATAACTAGATGTGAAGATCACTTAGGCTGCTGGGTCAGAGTCAGACAGGACTACTGTTTGGGATGGTGATACTGGCAGCCCAACCAGTGAAGCAGAAGAAATGATAAAAAGCTTCTAGAAGTGAGGTTAGTAGGGGGGAAAAAGGCTTTGGGTAAGTGTGTTTAGGACTTACAGAGATAACCCCTGCTGCCTGAGGCTCTGATCCGTCTGCCCCAACCTGAAGAGGTACAATGTCTAGACAGAGCCAAGATTTAAAGCCTCTGTAGATACCACCCTAACAGTTCCATGGCCAGGACCCCATGGCCTTCTCCTGAGACCTGGCTTTTCTGAAGCCTTCAGGGCCATGCTTCCCCAAGCAGAAACTCTAATGTAGAACTCAATGGGCACAGAGGGAGGCCTGAAGCCAACCATTTGATAGCGTATACAGTAAGCCTGTCCTAGGAAACAAAGACCATGCGGCCCCAGAGTCTATGGCCCAGCAATGTTTCATGGCCCCAGATATCCTGGAACAGGAAACCAGAGGCTGACTTTCAGTGTTGATGCCAACCAGAGACCACAGCATGGCCAAGGAGGGCAGGGAGACATTCATTGATTTTACATACTTAACACTGGGCCAGCCATAGAGTCAGCAATTTAGATGAATGAACTCACATGAACACCCCCATCTCCATTTGCTTTGGAAGAAACACAGAGCACAGCAACTTGAGAGCAAACCCAACCCTGGGCCTGATTCCAAATTGTCCTCTCAGTGGTTCTATGCATACACATTCAGCTACCCATGAGCATACACACCTGCCATCATGTACACACACATGAGCATACACACCTGCCATGCATGTACATACACATACCTGCTATACATGTATACACACACATGCATAGCTGCTCCCAGGCCCTTCTGTTTGTTCTCTTGCCTGCTTCGTAGAGACTCAAGGCTCCTGAGACGTGTCTAATTCTGAGTCTAGCTTAACAATGATCCTACCAAAAGTCCAGCAAGCCATGAAGCCATTAAGACTGCCCAAGGGGAAGCAGCCTAGCCCTTGATCACTTTTCCTTTCCTCTCCAGGTGTCCCCACCCTCCTCTACTACGGCAATGTCAGTAGAGGCCACACCATACCCAGAATAGAGCTTATGCTCTTAAATTCATGGCTAGCCACTCCAGCTCTTGAACCTTGCCATGCTAGTGTAGGGTGGGCTTTTTGGATGGACTGAGCTTGATTATGAAACCCTATCCCCAGGCCTCCATCCTAGATTCTAAAGGATGCCTGAATATGATTTTAATTAACAAAAGATAATAAACCCCTTGGCTCTATTATAAGTTTCCAGTCTCAAGGCCAACCAGGCCTACCCAAACCTCACAGACAGTAGTAGGGCTATGTCTTCCCTCAGGCCACACCAGCTACATGAAAACAGAGGATACACACACACATGCACGCACGCACAGAGGCTGCTGTTTGCAGAGAAACAAGAGTTCCTACAGAGTAGTGCAGCAGACCAAATGCTGGTCTTGGTGAAGTGTTTAATCAACGGTAATGACTCCACCTTCTCTGCCTCAGCCTCTACCTCAATCATTAGACTGAAAAGGAGGTTTGGACCAGGTGTTGGTGGCACACAGCTTTAGTCCCAGCACTCAGGAGGCAGAGGCAGACAGATCTCTGTGAGTTTGAGGCCAGCCTGGTTTACAGAACGAGTTCCACGACAGGCTCCAAAACAATACTGAGAACCCCTGTCTCTAAAAGCCAAAAACAAAAACAAAAAGAGGTCTGGAACCTTCTCAATCCGTGAGGGCCTTCAAAGTCACCTGGACCTGGGACAGTCGGAACAGAGTGATGTGACCAGGTGAACCATCTCCATGTCTCCCGCCATGCTTCCTGCTCTATGCTCCTGCATTACACCAAAGAGCCTCCATCCCAAGCACAGGGGCCCACAGAAATGAAATCACACCCTTTCCCTGGCTCTCCTTATAGTTCAGTGAAGGCTTCTTGTCCGTTCACAGTCACTGACTGGCCTTTGTGTATTGCTATGGCACCGCTTGCTTTTCCCCTAAAAGATTCAGTGACACAATGGGGAAGTCTATAGATGGGGACAGACACACAGCGCAAAAGAGGCAGTGGCAACTGTTCAGCCCATATGAGCTAAATGCTCACTCGGTGCGTGCCAAATGACTCCTGAGAAGGACACGATGGCATCCTGGTTGTGAGTGTTAGGTCTGGGATGGGAACTCTGGACTCAAGCAAGGCCCAGCTTCACACCTGTATAACAGTCTTAAACTCTCTAGGCTTCAAATTCCTCCTCGATAAAATGACAACCATGCCACCCAGGGTTGTCACATATGAGGCCTCCCTCTGGTAAGCTCTCAACACTCAGCAAAGTCTCCATTAAACATCAGCTTTAGCAGAGAAAAGGCAAGGCAGATTTTAAAGGAAGAAGAAACACACCATGACTCAAGAAACACCTGGGTGCCCTTAGACCTCAGGCTGGTGGGTGGGGGCTCTAGCCCAGGAGATGGCTTTAGGGAAGGGTTCTGAAGAGGTTCTGTGAGAGAGAGAGGGAGTCAGCTGGGTGGAAGTGGTAACTGGAGGCACAGGAGACCCTCAGAGATGAGAGGAAATTGGGGCGCAGAAAGAGATAAGGTTAGAGGGCTGAGTGTGGCCCAGGTTATGAAAAGCCTGCCTAATGTGACAGATAGCCTTCATCTTAGTGACAAAAGGGGACCACTTGAGGAGCCATAAGACCCAGTGGCCCAGGATACAGGATCTGGGCAACAGTGTAAACAGAACACCCTTTCCTCCCAAGATGACATGTCTATTTCTTTGTCCCATTAGCACACATCCTAAACTGTAACATCATTGTGCTTAGTGCAGTGTAGTGGCTGAGAGTATCACTTATCTAATGCCTGCTGTATACCCAGCAACTATGCTAGATGCTGAGGGAATACATAGGCAAAGACAAATCCTGCCCCCTAGTGGGCACAGACTACAAACCACACAAATAAATGTATATGAAGGAGCTCAAAGGCAATAAAGCAAGCAGATGTGAGATCCTAAGTAAAAGCCTAGAGGCACCTGTGATTACAGTGTTCACAGTCGGAGGAGGCCACGCCTGGAAGGTGAATTTGAGTCTAGACTGAGATGGGGATGTGAATACCCAGATGGTAAAGGAAAGAGCATTCTGGGCAAAGCACAACTGTAAAGGCCCCAAGGAGGCCTGAACTGCAAGGAGAGAGAGCCTGCACAGTGGAAGCACAAAGCTGGCGGCCCAGACAGATCTGGGGCACTAGGGGTTAGGTCTGTTCTGCTGTTCTTAGAGAATTCGCGTACTTTGGGACAGTGCGTGTGTGGCTATCTCAGATTGTCGGTTACAGCAGGATAACGCATAATTCAGTTCAGTCTCTGTCTTTATTGTGTCCCCGCCAATCTGCTCTCCACACAGTCTCAAGAGGCACCTTCCTAAAGTGGCCTTTGAGTTAGAGGTGTAGGCCAGTTACGTGGTTTGCGTAGCACACATGACGCCTTGAGTTCCATCCCCAGCGTGGCATAAACTGGAAATGGTAGTGTATGCCTGCATTCCCGGCACTCACTCAAGAGGTGGGGGCAGGAAGGCCAGGAGTTCAGGATCATCCAGAATACCATGAGTTTAAAACCAGTGTGAGCAATGTAAGACTGGCTCAAAAAAAAAAAAAAAAAAAAAAGAAAAGAAAAGAAAAGAAAGAAAGAAAGAAAAGAAAATGACAAAGAAAGAAAGAAAGATGGAAAAGAAAGGAAGGAAGAAAGGAAGAAAGGAAGAAAAAGGCTGCAATGGGGGTCGGGTGGCAGAAATCTCTGATTTCACCTTAGTATAAAATCCCAAACCATCACCCAGCCTCCAAAATCATGAGCTACCACTGTCTGCAACCTACATGAATGGCACTGGCTCTTCCCGCCCTCCCCAGACACAAGGTGTGCCAGGTTCCCAGGTGCTCTGTGTGGAAAGGGCAGAGTGTACACTGCTCCCTTCACCTAAAACTCTCCTCTCCCTCCCCTCCCATCTCCCTCCTCCCCCTCCCCCTCCCCCTCCCACTGGTTGGTAATGTAACTGTCTCCTCCTGTCAGAGTCTCCCTCACAAAGTAGCCACTTCTTTGCATCATTCTCTCTAGTGTCGTGTACTGATCACATTTAAATCAACCGGTCATTTGTCTGTTTCACCTGGGGTTCACCTGGTCCCATGAGCAGGGACGGCTTCTGTGTGTTCTCTTGTATTCCAGCAGGAGCCCAATATACACTTACAGCAGGTCCCAGGATGGAGCACACCCCATCCTTCTATCTACTAATGACCTAAAGGGGCTCCTACCACGAGGCTGGCAGTTAACGTCTGCTCTTTGGGGTGCAGTTTGAGGTTCCTCCACTACCATGGGTCCTTCTGTTTCAGATGCTGATTCCAGTTGCTTGAAGACAAGTGGCATCAAGAGTCAAGACTGTCACAGTCGAACAAGTAAGAGCAGAGACACCATTCCTCTTCCTGGAGACAGTCAGTGTATGGAATTAACTATCTGAATGGGAGCGGTCACCTCCCCAGGGAGGTGGTGGAGAAGTCAATGATTGCTTTCATACATGGGATCAAACCGTTATTTTCGCTTAGACATCAGATTTTAAGAATTAAAGAAATGTTCTGACTGGGTTCTATTAGTGAAGGAAAGCTTTCTTTTTCCCGGCCCACTGTGTGGCCTTCTCATTGAAGTACTCAGAGAAAGAGGATAAAGGCAATGTGGGGATTTGGCCAGTCCATGGGCCTTTCCCAGCACCGAGATCTGCCAGGGGCAGGATCCCGCTTCCATTATGTGCAAGCAGTCACCCTGTGCTAGGCCTGCATCTAGCCACTTGCCATGCATTAAACCATTAAATCCTCAAGCGCACAGTATGACACTGGTACTTTATTACCCTTTAACAATGACAGTAAATAAAGAGACTGTGTTTCCAGAGCCAGGAAAAGGCAAATTCCAGATCAAACTCAGGCAGTCATAGCCCAGATCAGTCTTACCCATGTCCTATAGGCACGAGAGAAATAAAAACTCATTGTGATAAATAAAACTGTAGAATAGCTGTGGGTACCAGATCTTTTACTTTTTAATACATAAATTTATTTATTTTACATCCTTGACAAAGTTTCCCCTCCCTCCTCTCTTCTAGGTTTCTTCCCCCAAACTCCCTCTGTTTCCACCCCCACAATCCACTCCTCCTCCATTTCTGTTTAAGAAAGGATGGGTCTCCCATCTTAATGCCGGTTAGAAAGCAGTGAGCTTATGAGGGGCCATAGTGCTCTTTGGGTAAATTACGTGTCTCTGCGTGGGGATTTTGCTTATAGTTTATCAGGGAACAGACATTTTCCAGCTTGGTAAGGCCCCAAGCAGCACACTCATAGTGAGAGTTGTCCAGCCCAGCAACAGTTCTCACAGGTTAAGGAGAAGTTACATCTATCTATCTATCTATCTATCTATCTATCTATTTATCTATCTATCTATCTTCTCTCTCCCTCCCTCCTTCCCACTTGCTTTTCTTTTAACATCCCTCATATTTTTTAATTGTTGAGATTATAATTGCACCATTTCTCCCTTTCCTTTCCTTCCTCCAAACTCTTTCATATACTCCTGCCCATCAAATCCATTACCTTTCTTCACTGTTATTGTATGCATACATGTATATACACACATATTCACAAATGTAACCTGCTCAGTCTGTACAATGTTACTAGTATATACGTTTCCAGGACTGACTATGTGGCCCTGAACAACCAGTTGGTGTGCTCTTCCCTGAGGAGGGCCACCTCTCTCACTCCCAGCATTCCTCAGTTGCCTCTAGTTCTTTGAGTAGTGCCGAGGCCTCATGGGCTTTCCCCATCCAGTCCGGCATGTCCATTGATGTCTTCCTTGTTCAGCTCATGATCGAGCAGTCATGTTGGTGAGACTTTATAGGTATGGCACATGATGTTACTAGGAAACACAGTTTCTCTTTAAATATATATTAAAAAATGTAAAGCCATTTTAAAGACAGGAAGCTGACTATTTATTCTGTTTCTGTCCCAAAGGCCTCCAAAGCTCTCATCTGTGGGAATTTGTCAGAGATTTGCTTCTGTCTCCTGAAGAAAACTGTGGCATCCTGGAATGGGAAGACAGGGAACAGGGCATTTTCCGAGTCGTTAAATCAGAGGCCCTGGCCAAGATGTGGGGACAAAGGAAGAAAAACGACAGGATGACATATGAAAAGTTGAGCAGAGCCCTGAGGTAAGTAAATAGCATCAGATACTATGAGCCTGCAGAGGAGTTATATAAAATAGCCAGCCGGAGAAAATGACACTGTTTTCACAGCTTTCCCCCTCGCTTTATATGAAAGGGTCATGAGCTAAGCCTCTTCTTGGTTTCAGGTGGGATTATGGTTTGTAAAGTGACCCACTGTCCTTTTCAGTTTTGACAACATTCCTGGGGGCGGGGGGAATCACCCTGAACCCAAGCCATCGTGCACACAAACACAGGCTGAGCTGACCGTGGTGAGGTTCAGTCTTCACGGTGTCTGGGAAGGGTTTAAGTGTAAGTTAATAACAGGGTGTGGAAATACCAGGGTAGGTAAAGCCGTGTCACCGGAGAGGAACAAGGAATGTTTACGTGCTGTTGTTTTCTTGGGGTGCAAACCTCCCCTGGATTTCTCTCTTCTGCTCATTTTCACAGATACTACTATAAAACGGGAATTTTGGAGCGGGTTGACCGGAGGTTAGTGTACAAATTTGGAAAAAATGCACACGGGTGGCAGGAAGACAAACTATGATCTACGCCAACACCAAGCTCTTTTGATGGATTCCTGTTGTTTGAAACAATCAGATCAAAATAGACATTTGAAAGTCTTCTTCCTCCTCCTCCTTCCCCTCCTCCTCTTCAAAACCTACAAACACAATGATAAAAATTTCTGCACATCTCAGCTTACATTTGGATTCAGTTGTTTTCTCTTGGGGTGATATCAGAAACCCTTAAGCAGTCGTCTTCATCCCAAGGGGGGAAAAGGGATGGTCTTCTGTGGAGACTTGATGAAACATTATTTACCTAATGAAGTGTTTGGAGCCAAGGTAGTCAGTGTTATGGGTGCTGCTTCAAAGAAAGGCCCCATTGCACCATTAAGGATACATGATCCTCCCATTCCAGAGGTTCTGAGTGGTCAACCGAGGCAGCTCACCTGCCACTAGTTTTTAAGAGAAGATGAGATGTAAGATGTGCTTATTTTAGATTTGAAATTATTCCATAGAAGGATTTAATTTAAAAAAAAAAAAAAAAAGCTAAGCCACTAAGCAGGGACCTAATTGGATGTAGCCTAAACTAATGATAAGTTTCTTAACCAGATCATCATTTTTGACCACTTAGCCACAGCCATTAGATCCATAGCCAATCCTTCGGAATTACATGCTTGTAATTAGTCACATTGGAATTGCTACTGAGATCACTGCCCCCTTCCTCCTCACTGGTGGCTAGCATCATTTCTACAGAGACCTAGTCAACAGACATGTGCATTAATTTCCAAATCACTGCTGTTTCTGTGATTCAAGCTGTCAACATGGTCAAATCAGAATCCATTGATTCCCTCTGGGGCTATGACGTTAAACCCTTTTATAGAGTAAAGAATGTCCAAACTTTCCACAATAGTCAAACACATTGCCAGTCTCTTTTCTTTTCTTACCTGATGAGCACTCAAATGCTACAACAGTTTCTCTTGTGGAATATTATTTTATTTTGTTTTTCAAGACAGGGTTTCTTTGTGTAGTTTTGTAGCCCAGGCTGGCCTCAAACTCACAGAGATCTGCCTGCTTCTGCCTCCTGAGTGCTGGGATTAAAGGCATGTACCACCACTGCCCAGCCAGATTCTCTTGACAAAAATAAATACAAGGAATTTCCATCAATAAATGTTCATGGGTTAAAGTCTGCACTGACATCTCTAGTTCCATTGGCATGCAAGGTGTTAATGACCTACAACAAGGTAGACCCCCCCTGAACCTGAACTTCTCCAGAGTTGGGAATGTCAAGCGATGAGGCACTGAATAGCAATGCAGGCTGAAGACCTCTATGTTTAGAGTTTAACCTCAAATGCAACTTGTTTTAAAAAGAAATGTGAATTACTGTAAAATAATCTATTTTTGGATTCATGTGTTTTCCAGGTGGATATAGTTTATAAACAATGTGAATAAAATATTTAACATGTTCCAATGTCTGTGCATTGTTTAATCCAGCAACCTGAGAATCTTTGAAGGCCCATTTTCTAGAAGCTGGGAATGGATCAAAGGGAGATTTCCTGTCCACTACCTTCAGATACTATAAAAGCTTCTACTGCCAAATGGGGCTCATGGAATAGTGTGGCCAACAAAGACTTTTTTTTCAGATTTATGTTATTTAATGTATATGAGTGTCTTGGCTGCATGCATGTATGTGTATCAAATGCCCATAGAGGTCAGAAGGCAACAACAGATCCCTGGAACTAGAGTTATGGAGGCCATGGATGGCTCTTGACTGCTCACCATTTCTCCAGCCCTCAACAAATACAGTGTTGTTTGAAGTTCATGGTGTTTGTTTTGTACTTTGCTTCTTTTGCAGTTGTATTTTATTTCTTGCTGGGAACTGTATTTTTTTTTTTTTAGAAATCAGACTTAAAAACAAAACAAAAACAACTTAAAAGAAAAATATCTGAAGTCTAATTTCTCAGTCCTTTTTGACGTTAATTTCCTGAAACATAGCGGAAACTGGGATGCACCTTGGGACAAGCCCTTGGTCACCTCCTCCTGCTTCTTGAGCCCAAGGTGGTCAGCTACTATTCATGTTTCTTCTTGGTTTTGGCTTTTGGTTTTGCCAACATTTTAAATTTGGGGCCTGTGTCCTGGGGGTAAGTAGTGAGTGAAAGGCTGAAACAAAGCCCAAAACCAACTGAAAGAAGAGATTGTTCAAGAAGCTTCTTGACATACAACTCACAGAAGAACCAGGATGGGAATGCAGGTGGGGCCTAGGTGGACAGAACAGGTCAAAGTGAGTAGTAGCCCACAGCTAAAAGATGCTGCTCCATCAGCACAAGCCAGCTCACCAGACAACCTGGAGACCCAAATCCCCCCTCCGCTGTTTGTGAAAGTTTCATTGACCCATCAAAGCAAACATGCTCTGTCAGTTCCCAGGCTTTCCATGACAAACTGTGAGACCTAGAGGCTTAAAACAAAAGTAGTGTGTCCCAACAGTGCTGGGAACTAGAAGCCCGGAGCCAGGGCACCTTCATAGCCACACTGAGCTGTAGACTCCAGGAGCAGAGTCACTGTCATTCTTACAGCTCCTGGTGAGTACATGTGCACCTTGGCCAGAGGCTGCAGAGATCTAGGTCCTGCCCCTTCTACAGTGCCTCCTCCTTCTGCCCTTTGCTTTCTTCAGTATCAGCTGGGGTGCCCACCTGGATTATCAGGAGGTGCCTGTCTTGTGATCCTTAATCTAAAGATGTCTGCAAAGATTCTTTTTTGCCAAATAAGGTTGCAATCACAGTTTCCAGGATATGTTTCAGAGAGGGGGGTTCCAGCATTCAACCCACCACACTCTTCAAAGCATGTGTCCTGTGTAAACATATAGCTCCAGAGTAGAGTTCATCCAAGGACAGACAACACAAGGGTATTGCGGAATATTTGCTTAACTGCACAAAGATGTATTGCATTTGTTTAACCATGTGAAGATGTGTTGCATTTAACTATGTAAAGATGTGTTACATTTGTTTAATTACATAAAGATGCATTGCTGTTTTACTGTACCTGCTTAAGACACCTGATTGGTCTAATTATAAAGCTGACTAGATGATAACAAGGGAGAAGGTATAGATAGAACTATGCAGGGAGGGTAAGTAGGAGGAGGAATTAGGCTTGAGGAAGAAAGAAAAGGAGATGATAGGGAGACTCCAAGACAAACACACACACACACACAGAGGATGCAGGAAAGTAGGACATACAGGATGAAAGGTAAAATAAATAAATAAACAAACAAATAAATGCAAAACGTAGATGAATAGAAACAGGTTAAATTAAGTTAAAAGAACTAGTGGGACAAACCTAAGCTGAGGTAGAGTGTTCATAATTACTAAGTCTCCTTGTCTTTATTTGGGAGCTGGTTGGCCCAAAGAAAATTCCAAGTATGCAAGGGATCATTTAAAGCACTACTCTAAGCAAACAATGCTACAGAGAAGAAAAGGTCAACAGACTATTCTGAAATGGAAAAATAAGTACTTTCATGAATAAAGATCTGCAATAAGGCTTTCCACCAAAAACCACCAGTATGCTAATATGTGCTGCCTTAAATTCATCTAAAATTCAAAATATAACTTTTTAAATTTGTTCATATTAATATTTCACATTTTTCAAAGCTCTGAAAGGGTTTTTCAGCCTTCCCTTTGCCTCTCAGTTTAAAGTAGAATTTGGTCTTTTGCCCTTTGATCATTCCAAAGCTAAGAAGCCAAGAAACAGCCAAACAGCTTGCGGCAAACAGTAGTTAAAACTCATTTCCAAACCTGTGCAATAGCTCAGTGGGTAAAGTCACTTGCCCCAACCCTGAAAAACTGAGTTCAATCACTGGATCCCACGTGGTGGAAAGACTAACTCCTGAAAGCTGTCCTCTGACTTCCACATACACATGCACCACAGCATGCACACAAGAGTGCATGCACACGCGCACACACACGTATGCATACTCACTTGTACATGGATATACATCCACATGCAAAAAAGTAAAAACTAAGCAAGAAAAAAAAAACTGTTGTTACAAGCAGTTTTCCCACCAGCTTGGTCCCACAGCTGCGTCAGCCCCAAATAACACACAGAGATGCTGTATTAATTATAAAGCTGTTGGCCTGTTACTAGAGTTTCTTATTTGCTACCTCTGTCTTAAATATTAATCCATTTCTATTAATCTAAGTGTCTCCATGTGGTCTTATCTAACCAGAGAGACGGTCCAGCCCTCTTCCTTCCAGTCTCTACATCTTGAATCTTCTCTAATACATCTTCCAAAATCCATCTTATCTCCTCATCCCACCTATCTTGCTTTCCTATTGACCAACAGGGCTTTATTCATTAACCAATAAGAGAAACATATTTATGAAATGACATCTACCATCAAACTGTAGCATAATGAAAGGGAAGGCAGGTATGAGGAAGGAAACAGTGAAAAGTGGTCAGATGGATGGATGGAAGGTTCCAGTGGTGCAGAATGAGTGAGGAGGTCTACAGTTCTGTTCAGTGCATTTACTCACATCCACATAGGCATGTTCCTGCCATGTAGCAAATGTTCCTCATGCTATGCCTTTTGCCTTAGCCAAAGAAATACCAGTGGACACGATGCAAAGGCTTGGAAAGCACTCCTACAACTGAGATTGCGTTCTTGACTTTGGCATCCTATGGGTCCCACTGAGAGTAGAGACATATGACACAGATGGACTAGCTAAACCATCCCCAGCTGATCCCAGCTCGGACTGAACCAACTATAGCCTGGAATGACACATGATCATTGTTTGGAAGCACTAGACTGTAGAATGGCCAGGACAAGGCCAAAGTCAACCATGTGTCTAGACACTGATAGCCACACTGCCTCTCACTCCCAGCCTCCTTAGGAATTTAACTCTGTGACTCTAAGGCACAACCTTAAGTGGAACATAATTAGACAGGAAATAAAACCTCAGGAGAGAAGTGAACCTCATCAGTGTCTCTGTCTCTGAAAGTCACAAGAGGTTTCCAGAGAAAAACTGAAGATACTCTTAAGTGTTAGATGAAGAGAATACTCTAGAGCAGGCGGTGGTTGTTAACTGCCAACTTATTTTAGGAAATAAAATATAATAAAACAGAACAGTGTGTCCTAAACTCCGAGTCTACATGTATAACCCACATACATACCCTGTCAGTGCACGGTATTCAGTTTTTAGTTCATGCCAC